GACCAGCGCAACGCTCCAGCTTCCGTGGGCAGCGTCCGCGGCGGACGCCGACAGCGGTGGCGGGCTCGTCTTCCACCGCCACCACCACCAGAAGTAGGAGGGGGAGGGGGTCCTCCTCCCTCTCTTCTTCCTTCTCCTCCTCCTCCACCTCCTCCTCCTCCTCCTCCTCCTCCTCCGCCACCTCCAACCTATGGTGGTGGTGGTAGCGAGTCCTTCGGAAGCGAGCAGGGACCGCTGGTGGTCTTCGTGCCCCTTCTCACCCTAGCAATCCCGATCGCTACAGGTCTGGGGGCTCTCGGCCCAACGGTGGCGGGGGGGGGGGCCAGACCCCCGACGTCATGCTTTGTTCGTAACGTCGAATCTCGACCCGTTCCCCGGGACCGGTTTTTCACCCTGGGTCCTTTTTTGGCGGTCCCGATGCCCAAGAAAGGGCCTCCTGAACCCGAGAATCTGGAAACACCTCCCGCCATCATTTCTGCATTTCCCGAGGGGGTCTGGGCTGGTGGCTCTCGGCCCAAAGGTTGGGGGGGGCTGGCAGCGCGGAGTTGGGCCGCCGGCTACCCAGGAGAGCCAAGAATCGAATCGGTAAGTCGAATCGGCGATCGAACTTAATCGGATCAAGTGGCAGAAGAGTAATACCTCATCGAGAAGTCGGAATCCGAACCAGAATCCAGAGGCGAATCGAATCAGATCGGAAGCCATCGACATCGAATCGAACCGAAGCGGAGGAAATCGAAACGAGCCCTGGGGGGGGGGCTGGCAGCGCGGAGTTGGGCCCTGGCGGGCACCTCTTGGCGCCGCGCAGTTCCCGAGGCCGAGAATCTGAGGTCCCGAGGCCCAGAGAGGGCCTCCCGAGCCCGAAGATCTGGGAAAACCTCCCGTCGTGATTTTTGTTCATCGCGCGAGGGGATCTGGGGGTGGGAGGGGGGGGGCGCTGGCAGCGCGGAGTTGGGCCCTTGCGGGCGCCTCTTGGCGCCGTGCAGCTCCTCCGCGGTGAAGCTGTGGCCGCCGACCTCGTAGCGGAACTTGAGCCGCGCGTGCTGCCTGCGCGGAACGGCAGCCCGGGCGTGCGGGCAGGTGGCTGATGGGCCGATGTTCCACCACCACCACCATAGGTAGGAGGAGGAGGAGGAGGAGGAGGAGGAGGAGGAGGAGGACCTCCCCATCTTCCCTCCTCCCCCGTCCTACCTATGGTGGCGGTGGTGGACAATCGGCCCATCAACGGCGGCATCCGAACCTTACCTCTGGTGATCGTTACGTGGGAGCCTACTCGGTCCTAGGCGAGGAAGCGAAACGGGGCTGCGGTTTAGCGAATTGTGCCACCATGCAAGAGGGGAGGAGAAGACAAAGACGCGACGGCCGAAGAGGAGCAGGAAGCGGGCCAGGGCCGCCCAGGGGAACGGGTCGTTCTCAGGGGCGCGTGGCGCCGCGGATCTGGAACACGTGTGGGACTGGTTTTGGACGGGATGCGCCCCTCCCCAAGGGGAGATGAGAAGGAGGAGGGGGATGGGGATGGGGGAATAAGAGGGACGAGGAGAAGCAGGAGAAAGAGTCAACCACGGTCCAAATCTCAGAAAAGCAAATTCCAATGTCGCTGCTCCAGGCTCCCATGAACGGACACCCCGACCTCACGGGCCGCGCCCCTAAGCCACGATCCCGCGGATACGCGGATACGGAACGCTTTTTCGCTCAAAAACCCGCGCGATACGTGTCCGTGCGACCGCGCATTCGCGGGATCGCCTTCTGGAGTCTCGACCGCGACAGCGAGGATACGGCGTATATGTTTGCCGTTCGTGGGAGAGTTCGGTGCGGCTAGGCCTCGAGCTGAGGGGAAACGATCGGTTCGACGTTTCAAGTTCGAGGTTTTCGGGTTGGTTCTCGGCGGTTTTCCAGCCTCGGGATGCCTTCCAGCGCTTTCCCTCGCCGAGGGCGTCCCAGGGGGGTGCCTAAAGTGCCCCGAAGGGTCGCCAACGGCCCGAGTCATGGCCCGAAGGCCAGCGAGGGACTGGCTTGGGAGGGGGGGGGGGAAACGAGCCGGAACCCGAGCTGCATCGACGATATAATTACAGGTCGGCGAACTGCCCTCGATGCCGAAGCTGCGCGCGCTTGGGCGGGGTGGGCCACCGTGCCCTTGTCGGCGATCAGTGGTCGATTGATCGAATAGTGGATCGACTACAGAATTGATTTACCCCGAAATTGATTTCTTCATCGAAGCTACTGAAATTGTGTAGACTGCTCAGTAGATCTACGGAGCATCCTGCGATTTTCCCGCAGATCCCACGGGAAATCAATTCAGGGGTAAATCAATTCTGTAGTCGATCTTCTACTCGAATTGAGGGTCCGTGCGCGCCCCCGGAGCCTGCTACCCCCTGACGCTGCCCTCGAGGAGGGGTGGCACGGCGGCGGGGGCCGGCAACCGCCAGGACCTCCCCCGTGTCGAGTGGCCCGGTGCAGATCTGTGTGGCGGCGCGCACAAAGGGGGGTGGGGGGAGGGGGGAGGGCTTCTCAGAAGCACCCCTGCTTCTTATCTAAGGAGGCACGGGCCTCATATGGACGACTGTCTCCCGAGGCCCGACACGTGAAAACCCTTGAGTTGTTGTGTGCTGTTCTGGTGCTCGAGCTTCTTTCTGGTGGTCAAGGCTAAGGCAGGTTGGCACATCACAACCTTCGGGTTGGGTCGGGGCGGCTTGGTGGGCGGCGATGGACCTCGCTCAGCGCCCGGCGACCCAACACTCGAGGTCCCGACCCTTTCCGGAAGCTGGCAGAGCTGGGTTTCGTGGGACCTGGTCCAGGGATGTGTACTGGGGGGCGCCCCCGAGGCCCCGTTCCACGAATCGGAACCGCCGTCACCCGAGAAACACCAGTCTGGTCGACCCAAAAGGGGGTCCAGCTGAAAGGGGGTGGTGCAATAGATTTGGGGCAATTGTGTTGCAAATGTATTGCGCCGGAGAATTGGATTGCATTGTACTGCGACGAATGTATTGCACGCGAAAATCCAGCAATACATTTGCGGCCCGGAATGTATTGCATGCCCCCGATGTATTGCAAACCCACAAATGTATTGCACCAAATCTATTGCATCACCCCCTTGTCGCTGGACCCTCTTTTGGGTCAACCCGAACCAGCTACGGCAGACCCGGTTCAGCGATTCTGGCCAGTTTAAGGGCTCCGGGGCCCTACTACTGACCGGGTCCCCTTACCCGGGGTCCTGGTCAGTCCCGACCCTTTATCCAAGGCTGTCTCATCAGCCCGCGCGGTAGTGATCTGCGGCCCCGGAGCCCGGCGGAGGCCCCAGGGCTTGAGCAGGGACCGGCCGTCCCGGCATTCCTCTAGGCCTACCACGACATGTCCTCAGAACCCCAAAAATGGTCCAATAACAAAAGCAAAATTCTTAGAACATACACCCGATGTGTTAAAACAAGAAGGTCCCAGCCAGCCGTGTTCTCAGGTCGTCTCGTGGAAACCACAAAAGGTTTTCAGAACACTGATTGGTAGGCCTGTATAGGCACGCCAGGCCGCTTCGCCACTGACGGCCCCCGCCCCCCCCGTCGTGCTCTTGTGGCCCACCCGTGTCTGAGTGCCCCCCTCCTGCCCATCGCGACCGCCCCTTCTGCTTTGCTATCCCCCTCCTGCACGCCGGCCAACCCGCGTCTCGGTCGCCCCGGATCGCCACTGCGCTGGAGCAACTTCCCTGCCTTGCCGCTGCCGATCAACAACTGTTGTGTCCACGGCGCGCGATCGTGGCTGGGCACGGAGTCTCGTCATCCACGACGCGAGCAAGGCCGGGCATGGAGTCTCGTCCAAGGCGAGAGGGCCTCGGAGAAGCCCCTGCCCTCGGCGACGGCAGCCGTGGGAGGAGGAGGAGGAGGAGGAGGAGGAGGAGGAGGGTGCCGCTGCCGCCGCAGCCGCAGTTCCACGCGGGAACCCAGCAGCACCACATGATGCAGCAGATGCCAGGGCAGCTGCAGATGCCAGGGCAGCAGGCGGTGCCACGCCAGCAGATGCCAGGGCAGCAGCCAATGACAGGGTTCTTGCAGATGCCAGGACAGCAGCAGATGCCAGGGCAGCAGAAGATGCCACCGCAGATGCCTGGGCAGCAACAGATGCCACCGCAGCAGATGCCAGGACAGCAGCCGCCCGTGCCACCGCCTGCTGGTCCGCCCCCAGCGCAGACATCGCCCGCTGCGACGACTGCAAGTGCTGGAATGATGAGCCCACCGACGTGGCCTTTCACGCAGGATGCGCACAACATGCAGCAGATGATTGCCAAGGGCAAAGCGATGGGCAAGGGCTCGACCGAGATTGCACAGATGGTAGCGCACACGATGAACCAGCGCGAGCAGCTCAGCCAGATGACGCCCGCCCAAGTCAATACCGAAGTGATGCAGCAGCAGCAACGCATGATCGCCCAGCAGCAAGAGGACATGCAGCGCATGCAAGCGCAGGTGCAACACTTGCTCAGCGTCAACGCGATGCACAAGATGCAGGCCAGCGGAGTGGAGATCCCGCCTGCGATGCAGCAGGCCGCTGCCACTCCTCCTGGGGCGCCAGGGACCCATGCGCCAGCCCAGCCCGCTGTGGGAGCAGTGGATGCGGCGCGCGCTGGCCCCATGGGCGCTACGGCTGTGCCACTGACGCCGAGGGCGGATCCCGCGGTCCCTACGGGGGGTGCCGCCTGGGACGCTTCGCAGCCGCCTGGGGTAGTGACTGTGACTGGCTCTCCGACGCCGTACGTGGAGCCGCTCGACCCGACCCAGAAGATGACGCAGGAAGAGCTGATGCCAGGTCCAGCTCTGTCGGTCACGGAGGACACGCTCTCGTCATCCTCGCTGCCCACGGACTCGCAGTTTCAAACAGCTATCAACGAGCTAGCGGAGAGGGGTGCGATCAAGACGAACCTCAGCCACGGGCCCCCGAGGGAGGAGGCCAAGGAGAGGAGGGACACCTTCGTCACGGGGGAGTCGCCGCCGCACAAGGCGAAATGCGTCGACGACATTTAGAAGACCTGACAGCGCGTGATGAGGCTGCCTGTAGCGGCCCTAATACTACGTTTTGTTTTCCTCCTGGATCTCCGTCCCCCACCCCTCTTTCTTGGACGCCTCGGGCCTTGGCTTCCCAGGAGGGTGGGGAAAATCTCCAGGATATCTGTACTGTTAGTCACGGCACCTTGGGCTATAAGGTGCCTGCTAGTGCTTGCTCTTTTGATTTTCCGACCTTGGGATTTGGGTCGGCGCCTAGGGACCCGTCCAGGGCCGGATTGCCAAGGCCTCCTGAGGCCGATCGGTCCGAAAGACCAGGGGCCTGTGCTGTTTCAAGTTCCAGAGCCTGCCAGTGGGCAGCCAGCTCACACTGCTCTGTGATCGATCAGACGACTGCCAGCTGGCAATCGTCGGGGCCAGACGGCCACTCGAGGCCCCCTCGCCCCATTTTGGGCGCGGCCTCCTCCCCTTGCCTCGGCTCCCCCCTCACCCCTGGGCATAGGGGTGCCTCGAGTGTCCGTAGGGTTGCGTTTCAACTTGAGGATGAGGGGCTGCCAACTTACCCTGGAAGTGATGAGGGCTGTTTGAGCCCAGGACTAGTTGCCCCCTCGTCTTCGAATTCATTCTGGCGAGATGGGGGCAGTGCGAGCCCCACCTTGACCTTTACCTCTGCGCAGGAGGTGTGCGAATACACAGCGGCTTCGCCCAGCATCCCCGCCCAGCCTTTGGAGGTCCCCTTCAGTCAACTCTTGGAAGGACACCCCAGTGGAACTCCCCCTGAGGCCAACATGGAGCGAATGCGTCGTAAAATTGTTCACTCTCGCATTGAATCGGTGCATGCATGCGCTGCTCGATCCTCTCGCCCTGCTATGCGTCAGTTTCAGCATCTGCAGGGACTACCCACTGTATCTGCGTGGGCAGTGTATCAGCAGCCACCGTCTTGTGATCACGACAGGGGAAGCAATTACAGTATCTACTACACGGATGGATCTCTTATCGAGGGCAAAGATGACACGGCGGCTTGGGCGCTTTTGCGCCTTGCCGAATTTGAAGGACAACAGTCATACCAAGGATACTTATGTGGAAGACTTTCCTCCTCCTTTCGTGCCCCCCCCTCTGCCCGAGGCACCACGTCCACCGATTGTGAATACGCAGCGCTATGCTTTGCCATGCTAGATGCACTTGTCTCTGGCACCCCCCAGGCTGCCTTCTTTAGTGATTCCGAGGTAGCAGTGCGCACTCTCACCAGGGTGTATTCCCCCAACCCCAATGATCAGATTGCACTCGTCGCGCTTGCCATCTTTGATACCCTCACCGCCTCCTGTTCTGTCTTAATTGAGCACGTGAAGGGTCACTCTGACCACCCATGGAACAGCTTCGCCGACTTTCTAGCATCAAACACGATGCAGGGTAAGATCCCCCCCACTAGAATCCCAGAGGCATGGTCTCAAGCGACTGAATACCACCACTCCAGGCAGTGGGAATGGCTTGAGCTTGCTGAACCCCATGTTCGTTCCATGTTTCCCCCTCCCCAGGGCCCAGATTGGATCACACAGGATATAGACACCCGTGCTGCCGAGGGGGATGTCCAGGGCTTCCAGGTTCCTCATGTCTCTGCTCCCTCTTCTGCGCCCGATGTCTCTCACTGTTACAGTTGCCCAGTTTAACTGTAAGTCCGCATCTGAGCGTGAGACCGCAGGCGCCCGTGGGCGGAAGCGTCAGACGCGCAATCACAGTTTGGCCACTCAGCTTCAGGAGGCTGCCGTCCATGTTGCAGGGATTCAAGAGTCATGGAACCCCCGTGGTCCCCGCAGGGTAGGAGATTTTCTTGCCCTAGCCAGTGGGTATTCTGCTGATGGCTTCGGTGTTGAACTTTGGATCAATTTGGAGCTCCCCTTTGGAGTCAAGGGCACCAGCCAGGAAATAAAGGTCACCAAAGAAGATGTCCGACTTGTACATGCTGACCCTCGAGTTCTCATTGCGGTTATTCGGGTGGGGGGAGATCAGGTTCCGTTGCTTGTCGCCCATGCCCCCCACATTCGTCAAGGGAAAGTTGCTGTTGACAACTTCTGGACCCGCCTCGATCAGCTAATTGAGCGTTGGAAACCCCGTATTTCGATAATTGATGCCAACGCCCACGTGGGGTCAGTCGTCAGCCAATGGATTGGCGATGAAGGATTTGTACAGCCCCAGGACTATCCAGGCGATTGTCTCCATCGCACCTGTTCGGAGTTTAACTTATACCCTGCCAACACACATCACGGCACACGCGATGATTACACCTTTATGCATAATGACGGAAGTAAACACAGAAATGACTATGTTTTGTTGGATGAGTCTCTCTTTGGTTGCGTCAGGAATGTGGAGGTCGACCATGCGTTCGACGGGCTGTCCACAACCACCGACCACCTACCCTTGTACGTTACTCTTGCTTGGTCTGCTAGGTCTCGCGCTAAGTCTTCTGGACCCCCTAGGCTTGACCCCGCTAAGATGACTAGGCAGGATTGTGTTCAGACCTTCAAGGAACAACTCACCTCGATCCCCGACCTACCATGGTCGACACCTTTGAACAGGCACGTGACTGAGGTCACGGAAGGCATTGTTGAGGCCACCCGAGTGGCGTTCAAGGTTGACGCCATTCGCCCACGCAAACCCTACATTACCTCCCCCACGCTTGTTCTCATTCGGGTTCGTCGTGGTGCCTATCGTGTCCTGCGCAAATGTCAGGGACAGGACGGCGAGAGGGAGCGCCAGTATCTGTTGGGCTTTGCCTTGCGTTGCCTTGCTGGTGATTTGCATACCGAGGTTTCTGCTCTTGTTGACTCTGGCTGGAGGGACCTCTGGGACTCTCTTGCTGGGGATCTCCACAGGCTCCGTCAAGGTACCGCTTGCACCTTTCGTGCGCTCTCGTGCCTCATTCAATTCATATGCCGCTCTGAGACACGGCTGCACGAGCGTGTGGAAGCAGATAAGACAGCCTTCTTGGACCGCAAGGCTGACGGCATTCGAGTATCTGTTGACGGACATCAGTCCTATGATGAGTGGCAGGGGGTGAACACGCTGCTTCGATTTGGTGGCCGCCCCGCCAGGTACCCCCTTATTGAGCCCCTTATGGTTAATGATGCTGGAGACCCGCTCCCCACTGCCGCCTCAGTAGCAGACCACATGCAGCAGCATTTCGGAGATATAGAGCGCTCTCGTCAGGTGACCAAGCCAGATGTGCTCCGACACTACCACGACTTGCCGCCCGTGTCTAAATTCGTACCCACTCATGAACCCTCCCCCCAACCTGCCCAGGGCGATGAAGACAGCATGGGAGGAACCCTGACTTTTCCTGGACACCTTCTTTTGACTCGAGCTCAGCTCGAGAGGGCCCTGGTCCGTGCCCCGTCCAGGCGTGCTGCGGGCCCTGATGGGCTCAAGTTGGACGTCGGCAAAATCGCTCCCCAGGAAATGGCCCAGGTATTGCTCCCTGTGTTCACCAAGGTCGCTGTTGCCTCTAAGGAGCCCGTGGCCTTTAAGGCCGGGCACGTGGCCTATTTTTGGAAGGGCAAGGGCCCCGTTTCGGTCCGTGAAAATCAGCGTTCGATTTTGAAAGCCAACGTCATCGGCAAATTGTACCACAAACATGTGCGCGGCCGTGCCTGGGGCTTTTTCGAACGATGCATGTTGGACATCCAGTGTGGAGGGTTGCCTGGCCGATCTTGCGACAGCGCCCTTCACTTTGTGCGCTCTCTCTCGGACGCAGCACATTTGCACAAGCGCAGCACAGGTTTCTTGTTCCTTGATTTACGTGCTGCTTTCTACTCAATGATCAAACAGCTGGCGATGCAACTGCCAGGCGAAGAGGCTCTCTTGGAAGAGGTTCTTGGTTCTTTAGAGATCCCCCAGGTCCTCCTCACGGGCCTCAAGAGATCCCTGCAGGAACCTGGCGTGCTTGATAGAGTTGTGGATATTCCAGCTGTGGCGGCGATGCTCAGGGAATCTCAGCGAGGTTCATTCTGGCTTGTCCCTGGGGCCAGCTCCATCGCCTTGCCTGGCACTGGCTCTCGTCCTGGGACCATCATGGCCTCCGATGCCTTTAACACCGTGTTTGCTGGCATTCAGGAAGACATTGAGAATGAGGTCGCTGTCCGTGGACTTGTTTGGGAACCCCCAGATGTGCAACCATGTCTCGCCACTCCCGAGGACCTTGCTCATCCGCACAGCTCTGTTTCCTTCGTGGATGATTTGACGGCAGGACTTGCGGTGCCACACGCCAGGGATTTGATCCCCGCCATGCTTGAGCTTGCAGAGTGCACTTTTCGGGCTTGCCTCATTCGAGGCCTCAGGCCCAACGCAGACAAAACAAAAGTGCTGCTTTGCTTCAGAGGCCCGCAGTCGATGACTATGCGTGCTGAATGCTTTGGTACTGACCCCCCCCGTCTCGTCTCTGCTGACCTTGGCTTCTCTCTGGAAGTGGTGCGGCAACAGAAGTGCCTGGGGGCCATGATTCAAGACAACGGCTCCATTGCCGCTGAATTGCATTTGCGTTGCACTGCCACTTTTGGCGCCATCCGTCCCGTGAGGAAGGCCATAGCGCCTAGGCGCCAGCTCCCTATTGCTAAGAAGGTCCTTTATTCGGAAGCATTAGGTGCTTCGAGGCTGCTTTACGCAGCGTCTGTGTGGCCTTCTCTTACTTGTGAGCAGTATACCAAAGTGCGTAAGGCACATGAGGCCATTTACAGGGCTGCTCTCAAACTTCCCTCTAGGAACAATGGGGTCGACTGCCAGACCTCTTATGATGAGATCCTTGCGGCTGCGTGCAGGCTCCCACTTAACCACGTCCTACATATCTGCCGACTACGTTACCTGCCTCGCCTGCTCTCCCGCGCCCCTCCCTACCTTCGTGTCTTACTTGATTGCACCCAGCATCAAAACACGGGGTGGCTGCAGCTGCTTTGGAGCAGCATTCAGTGGGCCTCCTTGTTTTTGAACCCTTCGGAGAAGCCAGAGGCGTCCCGAGATCCCTTGAGGGCTTG